GCTGAAGCAGTAAATGTGATTATTAACCTGGCTTTATCTTCATTTATCTGCAATACCGCCGAAGATAAACTTATCATTTCAAACTTACACAAGAAGTTCCTCTCACAAACAGCTAGTAGATTCAATTAGTGCTAACGTCCAAGAAGAATGGAGAGAAAACAAAGCAAGACTTCAAGAAAGGGACAACACCATTCTGACCCCGAAAACCGAAAACATTCAACTCTTGAACAACCGGGAATTGAATTTACAACGAATTCGTGAACTTGTGTGATCAAAACCCTAAATTACTATTAAAAAAAAAGTGATGTCAAAACACGACAGATATATTCCATGGACATTTTGACAAGAGATTTAATTTAATGAGTTTGTCATAATTGTTAAAACCTACTTTGACATGTCTAATTATCTTAATTAGCCATGAGTGATATGACCAGATGGACTGTGCTTTGTGTGACTTAATTATTGTTTATTTAAAATATATCTTTAACTCTACTTGTAAATCATTTTTAATAAAGGAAAAAAATTTTTTTGTTAACATTCGTTCTGTCCGACCCGAAGAAATAAAGGTCTGCAAACGTTTAATAAAGAAGATACTGTGTGAAATAACTATAGTTTTTAATAAAGTTCAAGTAATTACTGTGTGAAATAACTATAGAAGTTCTTCTTCAAAAAGTTAATAGAACTTCTAAAGGAGACACCTTCTAGAAATAGGTAGAAATTTAGTAATTATGCAATGAGAGAAAAAAATGTATACTTGTTTAGTTAAGGGATACTGTATACCAACAGACAGGTTTATGAAAAATTAAAAAAAGAAGGCATCACTGTGTTGTTTGAGAAATCCGACCTCTTTTATTCCTGTGAAGCACAATTTATTTTTAAAAAAAGTTCTACTCGAGAAGAAGGTATTTGTTACATTAAAAGTTTTAGACTTTATTAGGTCAAGTATACCAACTTATTCGGTTCACAAAAGCATGTTCTGGATACGATAAATCTTAAAACCAAGGCGATACAATGACAAATGAGCTGATAGATTTTAAACAACCTCTTTTGAAGTCATCAATTTGTGAATTTTATGATCGTATAATAAATTATTTACTTTTTAGTATTTGGTCGTATTTTTACTAAATTATTACATATCAATTCTTAAGTCTGTTTTATACAAAATTTCCTTCAACCTGGTAAATTCTAAGAGCTGACAGCGGGTGTGACCGGACAGTCGATCATGGATGCTTTTTGGTCTTAGACACCTGATAATTCACACGGTACGTGTTTCATGTCCTGTTATCATATTCATATTGTTTGTAGGTTTATTTGAGGTCGAACAATGCCCATTATCGTCACCCTTGTTACTATAGATGCTGATGAAGAGTACCTTTGTTGCATTTGTATACCGATTTTGATGCGAAAATGTTTTTCCGACCTTATCCTGTAAAAAAAATTATCAGTTAAATCGACTTTTTCTTGTGTCAAAAATATAAATATTGTCAACAAAATGTGAAAAAAATAACAGGGACAATATACTATATGATTGGAACTCTGAAAACATTCTGAAATGCAAGGACATTATTTATGTGTAAGCAGAAAGTTATAGTTATCTGATGCTTGAAACTGGATAAAAGTACAATTAAATTTTTTTTATGTCATATTCTATTTTCTGAGTACGTAGGTGTGTACTTATCAGTATTTGTCATTGAGATTAAAATTGTTATTTCAAATACCTTAAATTTTTCTATAAAGGCTAATGTTTTTTAACAAAAGGTTTGGGTCAATTCGACTTTTAACTTGTCAAAATGTATAATGTACATGTATGTATGAGAAAAAAAGTTGAAAACTGGCACTGAATGATCATTCGTAGCTTAAACAGGCCACTCAATGGTAAAAGAACAACATTCAAAATTTGCATACTATCCCAAACTATACTGTCCTGCAAATGAAAAAAATGTGCTTGAATTATTTTGGCTAGCTTGTATTGTAGTTCTGTCCTTCTTGATAAACTTTAACTTTATTTTAGCAAATAAGACATACGACATGACTACATGTTGTATATTTTACGTGCTTAAATAAAGTATATAAAGAAGGACAGTTCTCACCTTGCCATCCTCGCACACATTTGAATTGGTTAATCTATTTTCATTCAGGCCAAAAGGTAACATTAACACAAAAAAGAAAAAAAATCTACTACTAAGAGTAATTTGAGATGTATTCTGGAAATACTGCCAAAAACTCCAGTTCTTGGGTGAAATGACTTTTTTAATTGACCATCTTTTGTATAAAGCTTCAAAAATAAAAAAAAAATAGCAAGATTTTTTCTAAAACCTTAGCTTTTGTCCCGAAAAATGTTGTTTTCACACAGAATTCATCCTCAACTGCAAACTCGTATGTCACGGTTAACGGGTTTCATAGCTTTTCTCCCATATAATTTTATTTATAACAAATGGTTGATAAAATAATATTGCCTATTTCAATTAAATTTTAACTATTGTATGCAAAATCACATGCCTGTGAAGTTCTTTAAACTTTTAAAACAAGTTTTATATAAAACATTTGGTGAAAAAGATATGTATCTGCAATGAATTATCAATAATTGCTTTTTCATTCATGACCATATTTTTTGTCCATAGGAAAAATATTAACACTACATATACATACTGTTAATTAATTACATATTAAGAGATAAATCACCGACGACCCCTATCAAATAGAAGTTAATTTATGCCCAAGAAACCATTTTTATGAATTGTTTACATTTTTGATCGAGAAAATGTAGTTTTTACAGTAAAATGTATGGAGATAAAAAAAATATTCAAGCCGAAAAGTCCATTTAACAGTACAAATTTGGAGCAGAGCAAAGACGTGCAATCAGATGCCCTGGAGGACAGAGCATCCCCTGTGGACTGGTCACACCCGCCGTGTGCTCCATGTCATGATCGGGAAATAACGGAAAAATCCGTCGACAATTCAGCATGTAAATAATGGCATAACAATTAGTTTAAAAACATCAGTCAGCATTTGACTTAATGGTAAATTGTATTTGCTGACAAGGTTATTGTATCGACCATAGTCCTTAGTACGAAATGATGACTTTGAAAGAGTCTGTTGATATTTTTTCATCAACTTAATTCTAATGATTTACATCGTTTTAGAAATTGTTTAAACGTAGAGCATGCTCTTGTGTATCGAATCAACTGAGAAATATAAACCCCATATGCAGGCGATGAAGATATATTGCTGCATAAGTCAGGAAAGTCCACGATTGAAAAGTTAAAGTCATCACGTTTATCATAAAGCTTAGGTATTAGATTACCATTTACGTCCTTTTCAAGTAAAATACCAGTATCCAAATATAAAACAGATATGTTATACTCTGTGGTACATGTACATGTATCTTCTATCTCAAGTTCACCAGGATATATCGTATCGACATAAGAATGGAAATAACCATTGCTGATTGACAATACGTCGTCGATATATCTAAATGTCGAGTTGAAGGCCAGAGCAAGTGTTCTTCTTTTCACGTATAAGTTTTTTGTTTGTTTGTTTGTTTGTTTATTTTTTTTTAATACAAACTCTGCTTCATATGAATACAAAATTAGGTCTGCTTATATCAGGGCGCAGTTGGTACCATGGGAATTCCAACGGATTGTTTGGTCTCCAAAAAATAAAGATATTGTCAATTAGAAACTCAAGCATCGTTTTAACATCAACATCAAAGTAATTGTATAAATTATCGATTTTTTTTTTTTTTTTTTTTTTTAACAAAATAATTTACAATTTAGCAAATGACCAATGACAATTACGAATTCCATTTTATTGAAAAAGCAATGATATCAAAAACCTTTGACTTAAATTTATCGTGGAGAATGGTTGTGCATAAAGTTGAAAAGTCGTTAAGTTTTTATGCTGTTGATTTTGGTAAAATTTTGTGATTTCAAATTTTCAAAAAGTTCTTTGGAATTTTTAGGCATCCACATCTGTCTTACACGACTTCTCGGTTATATTGTTGCACAGTACTCCTGAAGTTTCTCCTTCATAATTGTCAAAATTTTAGCGAGGAGCAAAGAAAGAGGCCTGGTAGAACATTTACTGGAACCCGCTGTGTATCTTTGTTTGTAAAGATTTTTATTAAATTTTGGACTCCAATATAGATATTAATTAATGATGGTTGTTGGTAATATTGAAAATATTTAGTTCTACTACTGGTATCCAACTTTTACCCATAGCTTTCTTTATAAGGAGGACATTCTTCAATATCATATTTCAGATTTAATCCCAGTTCCTCTGAAATCCAATTTAAATGGTGAGCCTTACTAACAAAGACAATGTTGTTACCTGCTTTGTCAGCAGGGACCAGTACATACTGGTCATGTTATCTCCTTTTTTGACTTCCGAGTTACTGAACACAGAAGGAAGCTTGGTTTACATTTTGCCCCTCAATCGCTTAATGCGAGATTTTAAAGATACATCTAATCCATTCTAACAACGTATCATTGTCTTCTTTTTCATGTTTTGCCCATCGCCTTAGTAGTCTTCCACAGAATCCCTTGTATTTATGAAATTTTGATACCAGTTAAAAGATCAGGGTTCCCAGAATTTTGGTCTTTTTAAAAAGTTAGACAAGACAATTCAAAGCAACCTTTACCCAGAGAAGTTGACATCTCAGTTAAAGCGGATTACTCACGTATTTGAGAAATTATATACCTATTCTCGATACTTGAATGTTGAATAAGATTCATTGCGAAGTAATTATTTTTCAATATCATACCCTTGAACTCCTGACTCCAACGATATCTTTTAAATTTTCACTCCATCATAGAATATTTCAAATAAATGTCCAAAAGTAGTCAATTATTGTAAAATATCAAAACCTATATTCAATGTATGGTTAAAATTGGACCATATACCTACTCCATTTACGTTGCGCCTTATTTAAAAACATCTGGCCCAAACAAAATAGTTTATACACCAATCTGACAACAAGGTTTTAATTGCACAGTAAAACAAAAACATCAGTCACGTTATAGTGTCACTATGTTCCGCGAAAGTGTCAGTCAGCACGCTTTGTGTTAAATGTAGGTACTGCGCTGGGGCCCTTTGCTCATTCAGAACCATCCATATATACACACTCTTCCCATCACTATTCAGAGAACCGCTGTGAAATACCTAGGGCCATTAAGTAGCAGCCGCGAATCTTTTTTCTGTCGCACCTGGACTTTATTTTCCTGCCTTCTCATAAACAGCGAGGACGATTAGAGATTTTCTGCTAATCATCTGGACTAAGAATGATGAACTCGGCATTCTCAGCACAGGTAAGGCGACAATTAATTAACACCTGGACGTAATAGACGTTGATTGTTAATTATCTACTATGCTATGTTCATCGTAGACGTAAATATCAAAATGCATAAAATTTCTATATATTTTCACGGTGTTGAAATTCGGTAAATGATGTCTCTACTTCAAAATTGGAGGTTCTTCTACAAGTACAGAAAACGTCTGAAATTGTTTTTCAATTGCATTAAAGTAAAAGAACTATCATACGCACCGTCACGGAGCGACGGGGGTTGATGAGGCATACCAAATTATTTAACACATACATAATTTTATTTGACTGTGGAATGGGCCCTTTTTTACCGTATACAGTTTAGCTAAGCGTCATTGCTTTGGTATACAGAATATTAATGAAATTATTTGTAATTTTTTGCGTCGTACAACAAATGTACCGACAATCTGCATGATTGAACGTTTCGATGAATTACTAATGCAGACAGTCATTAAATACCTCAGTAGCTTCTACTACGTAACCCGTAGGTGAAGTATTTGAAGTCTTTAGATTCCTGGTTTGACCTTCTGACGATAGGAATTCCAATCTGATATTGCATGGTTGTCTTCAAACAGACAGGAAATCATTTTATAAAAAAGATTTTTTTGCATGTAAGCATCTTAACTTTGACGGAACAAAGACAATACACAGTATCGGCTGAACTGTTGAGCTTTAGGATTGTGGGGATATCGGGGTCTTTATGTGTCTGTTTTTGTCCAAAAGGATTACGTTTATTGACCGTCCTCTCGGCCAAAAGGCAAAGCTTTTTTAAACTTCGCACCTTTCTGATCTCTTGAGCTTTGTGAGAATAATACACTTTCAACAGTTGCAAAGATTTTGTGGGATCTTCTTTAGGGGTTAAATTTTATAGAATTTCTTTGAACCAGCTCATCTTGTCCTTGTAAATTTTTTTTATACATGTATAATTTTACGGAATAAAACTAGTTAAATGGGGGATTAATCGTTCAAAACACTGATGTAAATGCATGTGGAGAATATACAAAACGTCATTAAACTTGTCTGGAATGTCAAAAATGTAGAAGACTTTATTCTACAATTAGCCATTTAGGTGGATATTTATAATTTTATATGAATTTATAGATGATTATGGTGATATTAATTCATAATTTCGTTGACCATGGAGGCAAAACGCCAACTTAGCATTCCTTGAACTTTTAACTTTTCAAGTTTATATGATATCATTTTCCTTTTACATGTACTTAAATATATTATCGAACGATTCAATTTTCACTTGCATGTTAATAAATTATATACTTTTGGCTATGAAAATTGCATTAATTAAATAAAGAAAACTAGCATGCCTCTATTAAGCAAGCCTTGCTTTAATAGAAGTAAGTTGCATGGAATTCATGTTAATAAAGAAGTATAGAGATTTTGAACAGTAATCAAACTGTAAGTAAACTGAAACAATACATATTGGGAGCAGAGCAAACAAGGACCTCTAAAACATCAGAGGTATAGGATCAGGAGGTGGGATCTAAAACATCAGATATGTAGGATCAGGAGGTGGGATCAGGTGGGACTCAATGGGGGAGTATGTATCCACTGCTGAACGGTAATACGGAGTGCTCCTTGTCCTGATCTGACAAAGGGAAAATTCATAGGAAAATCAGTGTGTAAATAATGGCATAACAAATTGCATAAAGTTAGTCAGCATTCGTCGTAATGATAAACTGTATTTGCTGACAATTTAAGATCACTGTATCGATCATGTAGTTTGTGAAATGCTGATTATAATGAGACTGTCGATATCCTTGTTTCATGAAACTCTTTGTCAAAAGCTTGTCTTTTTCTACAAAGTGTTTGAATTAAGAGCATGTTTTTGTGAATCGAATAAATTTGGAGACGATGTTTATTGTTTCATACATCCAAAAGGAAAGTTGACGATAGAACAAATGAAGTCATCGACATAATTTATCTAACTGTTGAATAGAAGGCCACATCAAGAGACTTCTTTTCATCTAGAAGATTTTAAATAATTTCTGCTTCATATGAAAATATAAATAGGTCTGTTAATAACGAGTTGCAGTTGGTACCCATAGAAATTCTGACAAATTGTAGAAGACTCTATTTTCAATAAACTACAAGGATGCTGTAAATGACGATTTCAAGCATATATTTGATATCTTCTTTTGAGTACTTGTGTGTACGATCAGAATGTTCGGATGCTGCATGCCTATATAGTTTGATTTTGCGTTACTTTATAAAAATAGCTTATTTTGGCCGTTTGACATCCGGGCGTTGTAGACAAATATTGATGTAACGGAAGCAAACCATCCTCTCTCGATTGAAAGAGACACTCTCAACTAGAATTTTCTTCAATGAAATTTGAAGCAAAGTTAAAAAAAATTATGTCACGGTATAATATTAGTCTAAACTATCAATGGAAGTTTAGTGCTCTTACATAATATGCCGTGGCATTCCTTAACACAAGGAACTGTCACAAAAATATTAACATAAGTACTTCCTCACAGGGACAGATTCTTTCTGAGTTGTAAGGAGCTACTAGTATATACATGTAAGCATGTTCTACCATTTAAAGGTCAGACACGGGTTTAAAAATTTTCATTCAATATGTATTATACTGCACAACATTATAAGTATTGAAATATCGAAAAATTTACAGACATCATTTTCCCTTTATTTTTTGGTCATAAATTGTGTTTTTCTCACCAGAATTTCGAAGTCAAATTCTTTATGTAGATGTACGATTTTGCATAGTTACGGATATATTAACTAGTTGAGACAATTTTCTGTGATGATTTCATGTTTTAGTTCATAATATATTAACCATGCTCTTTTCATTACCGAAATAAAAAAAAAATTGAAGATGATTTTACCAGGAGTAAAGCACGTTCTTAACATCTAAAGATTGACTTGAAACAATTCTTCACAGTTTCCCTTAAGTTTTCTTTAATTTTATTAAAAGGGTGTCAAATGATGTATTTAATTTGATCTAGCGGTTAAATGTCTTTTCTTTTGATAAATTTCAACATATTTAACAGCATGTGGAGAAAATACTTTGTTTGAAAGTTTGAAGTCTGAATTCTTTAAGGTATATTTTAGAATGTTCTCTCTAAAAGGTATTTTAAATTGTTTTGATATGCATGCAAAGTTCGTCCTTAAACCAAATTTCCATAAATTACAACTATATACAAAACATTTTAATTAATATTTCATACATTCTGGAATTCCATTGATGTCCCGCTACAACTGTGATTATACGAGTTAAATAAATGACAACTAGTAAAAGAAGTATTTTTGCTTATCCAGCTTGTTCTTTTCGGCAACCTTTCTGCACATAGATATTTAATCTTCGGTCCCATTGTGGGATAGTTTAATTTTCCTTGAAGTTTCTGTAGAACATTTATAGTTTGCAACAGATACAAATTTTTCCAACTGATAGATCTTAAGTTTTGCCAATACTGTTTGAGCAAGTTTAACTTTTTCCTTCTTTTGGCATTTGTACAATATGTACAACAAAGGGTAGAACTTAATTCTTTGGTAGTTTAATAAAAACTAATTTTATTTTTAATTTATTAAAACATTGGTAAAGCATTGACGGACGGTGGCAGTCGTTAACTTGGTAAATACGATGTCTTGCGGACACTAGCCGTGCTATTGTTAAAGTTCAATGTATTTTCAAAGAAAATATTGTTCCAGTGTAGGTTAAGCCGGTGTAATATACCTTTCCTTTTCAGTGTGAGCCATTAACTTGAAATAGATTTAATTTTCAGTCAGTGGACCATCTATTTTCTACAAATAAACAACCATGACACCACATTCATAGAAATTACCTGCCATCATCCGTACGCCGATGGCGCAATCGTATCTTGGCTTTCACTCACGCGTACTTTCATTTCACTGGTCGTTCGCATTTGCCCACCCATTCAATTACTATCTTTACAATCATATGTCATACAATTATCATAAATAACTTTGAATTCATCTTCCCAGCAGATTTAAAATGTTGGAATTTAAATATTTCCAACTACCTCACATTACATTCGACTTCCAGCCGACCTATTCGTACAATCGTGCTTATTTTACAGGTTTTTATTTCCATGCTAGGAAGGTTTCACAGCAGGAGATAAAATCAGGATCTGTAATCAACGAAATAACAGTAATAACAGTTTTAAGTTGGAATTGCTGTGATTTTGACTATTATTGACACCATTTACATGGTTTAGAAGTCCCATCTTTTGCATATATACAGTGTAGTCATCATTTTTCTTTTACGGTTAGAATTAAATACTGAGTATTATATGGAGACAGTTATCGGTCAGATCTTGTTAAAAGTTTCTTTTCTATTAATTTCCCATGATATCTAATCAAATTTCCTGAAAAAGGTACTTCTGTTGTATTTATTTATTTAATTTTCCAAATTTACTATACATCATTTTTGTTTCTTTTAGGGTTGTAATTTTTCCCAAGTATAAGCTGAATACTGATGTTAGTATTCGATACTCTTACTCGAGTAACCGGTTACACGTTTATAACCCTAGTTTCTTTATTTCTAAACTTTCCGCATGCTCTTCTGACTAGAGTCCTCAGCGTAAAACCTTGGTCAGACAAATTGATCATAAGAAACTCATTGCACCTGTACTTAACGTCAGATGCTGACCACAGGGCGTGCCATTTAACGGTTCGCACATCTATAATGTGGAAAATACCAGTTATATATGACAAGATTTTCTTCTTTCAGTGGCTAGAGATTACTTTTTGTGGATTTAACAAAGTATTTTTGCTAGCAACAAGTATGAATGAGTAAAAGGTGCAGCCCGCAGTCATGCTTTTTAGTGCTACCAATATCCATGTTTTCCCTTTCAATCACGTTTACAGGTGTACATACTGTTGTCAAGTTTCATTCATAATCTAGAAACTGTAATTTAGTATGCAAATTAAGAGTTAATTTTAATATATTTAAACAATTATAATTATGTATATCGTAATCTTAAACAAATG